GCACCATCGCCTCATTGAGCTCTGCACCATCGCCTCATTGAGCTCTGCACCATAGTATCAATGAGCTCTGTAACACCGGCTCGGCATGCATAACAAAGTTAGCATAATTGTCTTAAGAGTTTGATTATTTTCATTTGATAGTACAATGATATATTGTTCAGTGATGAATCAATTTTCTTTATATCGACTCATTGAAGACTTTTTTTCTGATGGGTGTTTTTCATTAATTTATTTCGGGTGCATTCTTACTGTCCTTTTTTATAAAGTTACAATATTTAGCCTTGAACGCTCTTCAGTTCGCATGGCCAATAATGAATTACATCGACAAAAACTTGACGCATTATTAGTGCAACCGTTCGTGGCGAGGTTCATTTGCCACCGAAGCTCGTGGCTGTGCGTGCCAGAGCAGTGCTGATGACTTCAGTCAGTCGTTGACTGTCGTGTAGTGCCTGCCAGAGCTGTGCTGATGACTTCAGTCAGTCGTTGACTGTCGTGCAGTGCCTGCCAGAGCAGTGCTGATGACTTCAGTCAGTCGTTGACTGTCGTGCAGTGCCTGCCAGAGCTGTGCTGATGAGTGATGACTTCAGTCAGTCGTTGACTGTCGTGCAGTGCCTGCCAGAGATGTGCTGATGACTTCAGTCAGTCGTTGACTGTCGTGTAGTGCCTGTCAGAGCTGTGCTGATGACTTCAGTCAGTCGACTGTCGTGTAGTGCCTGCCAGAGATGTGCTGATGATCGTTGATTGTTGTGTGGTGACCAGACATGTCATCACCGGAGACATTTCATTGACGTATTTCATCATTGACATATTTCATCATTATTACAATTCATCGTTGACTTATTTCATCGCTTTAACATTTCATCCTTAAGTTTGGTTCAAGGCAGGAACAAGTTTAGCTGGTGACCAAAAAAAGTTTAGGTTAGGTAGGTTTTGTTTAAGTTAGGTTAGGTTACACCTTTTTGTACTTATGTACTTACAAAATGCACTTTACGCAATGATGAAATGTTATTGTGAAGAGATGTGTGAATGATGAAGTGTTATTGTGATGAGATGTGTGAATGATGAAGTGTTATTGTGATGAGATGTGTGACTGATGAAGTGCGTCTATCATGAAATACGTCAATGATGAACTGGCTCTTGAGATGAAATGTCAGGGAATCCTGTCATGCGAAGCTGGTGCTGTGCTGCTGTCCCCTGGCAGTCGTTAAGTCATGCAGTGCGTGACCGTAGACGCCACCGCCGTGATATACGCACAGCACATGCGTGACGTGCCTGTTCCGTGCACATCACGGCGCTGGTCGCACAGATTCCACTGGCGCGCGTAAATGGAACTCGCAAGGCTGCGACGCGGGACGCCGAGCCGCCGCCTGGCACTTGTTAGTCAAAGTATTTGTCGCTCGATGCTCCATGGTACTCGACTACTCGTAGTCCGGCACAATCTCTGCGTCAGCGCAGAGGTGGTGGCTTCTAAGGTCGCTCTCATGCCATTCACTGGGCGTGTTGTTCATGAGTGAACCGAAGAAGGAGAGAATGGAGGAGCTTTGTGTGTAAGACGGCGCGCAGACTAGCAACCGCTGCATGTACTGAACTTCTTGTTTCAAACAAGTCATCGTCGGCGTGGTGCCAAGGGTATATTTTTACATTCGCTGCTGGATTCGTTTTTATTTAGTTATGCAAAACAGTAATTGCAGTCATTAAATAACATTTATGAGCAGTAATTTTAATTCATTCGTGCGTTGATGTCATTTTCTCTTCTCTTGAAGAATAGATTATTGTCTTGTGGCTACGATTCGTCATGAATAATATCTCTAAAGGTTGCCATTAGATCAAAGACCACATCGGCTGAAACGCTCCTATCTACAGCTGCCTCACTGTACGCATTTATCCGATACAGAGTGGCCGCGAAGAGCAGAATGAGCGACGTAGTAAATAGGCGTTGTGGCGTGAAGCCGCTGCTCAGGAAAGAAGCAGCGGGAAGGCGAACCGGCTCCTCGGTGCTGGCAAAATTCCCGCGCTTTGGTTGTTGCCACGTTCACGCGACCCCCAATGTTCGTCGGGTGCGCGGTTACGAAGGCGCTGCAAGTGCGATTACCAGGACAGCTAGGAGCGCATGACGTTTCTGCTGGAGTTGTGTCCATACGTTTCTTACGCTTATGCCTTCAGTCTGAGTTCATTTCTGAAGGAGGCAGCGTAGTGCTGCGTTGTGAACGCGTGGTGGTTAGTGAGCCGTGCAGCAGCGAGAGGCGGACGAGGGATCACCCCCTGCTGCTCCCCCGTTGCCTCCCCACCCCATCCCGTCGTGTCGACCGATAGCACTCAGGCCAACGCCGGGCCATAAAAAGAATACTATGACGGAGAAGCGCAGGAAATGGTGGTGATGGTGGAGGTACTACCGCGCGTATGTAGGTGGAGTGTGTGTGTGTTGTGGGGGTGTGGCTTGGGGGGAACTTGACTGCGCGCACAACACTCGTATAGAGGAGGTGATGGGTGAACACAGCGGGGATGGTGCTTCAACTACCTAAGACGCGAGGTGCCTCCTGGTGGGCCTGAGAGTTTCCTGTAATTTTAGTTCTCTTGATTTGAGGAAGTCATTTATCCAGCCATGAACGTAGCGCTGGCAACTGAATACGATTCATTTCACGCAAAGAAGTCGTTTCCTAGCTGTGTTCACTGGCAACTGAATATGATTTCACCTGAGTGTCTGAATAATTAATTCAACTTTACTACGTTTGCGCAATGGTGTGATGACTGCTGAAGACTTAGTTATGTCGAACAGAGAATCCTCCGTGTAGCGCTGAACGTTTGGTTATAGTTATGCCTTTACTCCATGGCGTAAGAGAAGAATCGCCATCCATTATCTCAACAAATTGAAACCATCACCGACAAAAAGCTTACCTTCTCATTCGATCGTGAAATGTTTGCAAGACTCTCCGAACTCATGTACTTCGAAAAATTTCAATAACAAGTTTATAAAGATGCTGAAGTACACGTTGAATCTTTACGTCCAAAATTTCTCGTGTTCGTGTTGTAGATTATTTGTGAAGCGTGTGCAGGGCTTTTGAATAATATATCTCTGTGCATCCGTAGATTGTGCTCTAATGTATTGGTGGTGTGATGATCTTTGCGGACTCCATGATTTGTCCAGCATTTGGATTTTTTTTTTGTCGTCAGAAATCTGGCGCCTTCACCACGCCAGCCCAAATACATCAATGTTCTGATGTTCGTACAAAAATCCTGCATGCAGAAGGTTGTGGAAATGAATCGACTTATTCCATCTCCTGTGATCGATCAGTCATTCGTAATAACCATAGTTTTTCATAAGTTGAATATCCTTCATTATTTCGATCTCTCTGACGTTCTCGGACAAATGAGAACTCCTTATTATTGTAACTTTTAGCCGTGTTGTAAGTTAACATCGGTGAGACTCGTAGTAGGTAGTCTGTGTCGTATGGCGTTGTGATCATCTGAATTTTTATTAGAATTTTTATTCGCGAATACTTCTAAAGAGTAATTGCGATGCTTTTTTATGTGTCGAATCAAGATTTAAGATTAATTGCATGCAATTCATAATTTTGTTGGATTAACCCTAGCACCTTGTGTGGGTAGTAAAAGAAACTAGTGCGTTTGCGCTCTTTCCCTAAACTCTGCTTTGGCGCCGCGACTAACTTATCGATCTCACGATGGAACGAATTGTGCATTCAGATCACGCTGAGTCTGGGACAAAAGTTTTACTCAAAATTGTACAGCAATGTGTGCCCCAGTATTGAATCAAAGTTTACAATAGCCCAAGTATCAGTGTAGTTAGGTAGAGGTTTTTCATTTATACAGATTTAATTAAAGACCAGATCACGCTTATAGTTAACATTTTCTTGTTGTTTTTTTTTTGTATCAACATTTTCATTAAAAAGCATGATCTGGTCTTTGATAAACCTGCATAAATAGCCCTAGTATTGCACAAAAGTGTGCTGCCATGTATCACACAAAATTGTACAGTAATGTATATTTCAGTATTGCTCTAAATTTTACAGCAATGCATGCCGGTGCTGCTCACGAGCAATGTATGCTTGTGCTGTAAAAACATGTACAGCAATGTACGGTATGTCCAATTGCTGTTCCAGTGAATGAATAAAGCGACGCTTCAGATCCTGGCCAAGAAATGCATGCCCAGCTGTCTCTTCACTGCCATCGCTGGGCTTGGCAAATGTTCCGTACAGTTACATTTTGCACGCTACATTTAGCTTGTTACAGTTGGCACGTTACAGATAGAGCGTTACAGCCAGCACGTTACAACCAGCACGTAACCATTTCACGCAGCATTTTCCGCTACACGCCCCGACGTTCCACACTCCACGTCCCTTAGCGCCGTATTCCGCCACTGCAGGAATCGATGCCGTGGATTTTCGCTCTGATGACCAACTGAGCCGCGGGCGAAGAGCGAGACGTTGCTTGTTGGCAACCGCTGCTTGTTTGGGTGGTGATGCTGGTGCCTGGTGGTGATGGTGATGGTGGTGTTGCTGGTGGTGATGGTGCCACTAGAATGTGGTACTGCTGCCCTCAGTTGATAATGTGGCTGTGGTGTTGGCGCAACCATGGCGTTTGTGTTGATGTGGTGTTGACGCCGCTATGGTGTTGGCGCTGCTGTGGTGTTGGCGCTGCTGTGGTGTTGGCGCTGCTGTGGTGTTGGCGCTGTTGTGGTGTTGGCGCTGCTGTGGTGTTGGCGATGCTGTATTGTAGCTGCTAACGCAATGTTTGTTCAGTGCTTTTTCTCTTTTTCGTATGATTGTCTTCTCCTTCGTTCCATCACCAATAAAATCATTACTATTAATGTAAAATTGATATTTAATAAAGACCTATGCATGGTAGGACATAGGATTTATATGAGGCCCTATTATGGTGATTAATAACATGTGAATTAAAATGCTCCTACCTGATGTTGTGCGAGTATGTGATGAAATGCTTGTAACTGTAGTGCATTAGTTGATGGGTATGATGGCTTCCAGGTGTCAGCGTGGGATGCAAACGACGACTGCGATTCAGGAACGGAGTCTGACAATGATAACAGCCAGGAGGAGGCGGAACAGGGTGAGTCCCATAGCTTTTTTTGTTGTTGATATTTCTACTGCAATGCACATTTTGGCAAATTACTCCCATCCTTATCTTCACAACGCGCTCTTGTTAATTTTTTATTCGTCTTGGCTGGAATGAACGCACGATCGATGTCACCAGCATTGTATAGGATTGATACCAGTCTTCTCTCCATGCGCGTTGAGAAACAACCCTGTTATTCTGATAGATTGCGTACACTCGTAGGAATCCTGGTGTATGCAAGTACGCACGCTCCATGTCCCGTACTTCTTGTTTAATTTTGTGTCTGCTTCGCTCCTATCAAGTATGAATTTATCCTACTCGGTCAGAGCTCCCCGCGTACGCCCTCGGTATTCAGTCCTTCAGTGATATGCTGCATGAACTGTTGAAATAATCTCGATGTTTTAGTAGCTGTGTCTGCAATGATTATATGCCTCTGTCAGATTTGATCATTAGTTAGACCATCTCATCCTCTCGATCATTTCCATTCCAGTAATTCATTGGAAGGTTTCCCTATACGCGGTTTTCTATTGTTTAGTTTGGACTATTAATTAAAGTGTTCTTTAATTTGATAAAAAATTTTTTAATTTCTTAAATTTTATTTAGTTCATGAAACCGACGTTGTGTATCGAATTTTTCCATTCTTGATCAAGTAACATTCTTGTTAGCAACTACGTTCGGCTTGTTGAACCCTTCCGACTAGTCTGACGCATAATGATACTAAATTTCAAACCATAGGAAAACTGTCACGATATATTTTTAGTTTACTTAGATCAGACGTTTTGCTCTGATATCTATCTGCAACAGATATCTTGGTCCAAGTTGTCGAGCCAGTTTTGTTTATTGAAATCCCAAAATTTTCTGAAAACAATGAAGTCGATATCACCTCACCTGAGTTGACACGGTCGCAGGTGTCCAATCAAACGTTCATTGAAAGATTACAATGAATTCCCTGTGGCCATCTGTTTTTGCTCGAGAAATGTTATACGCTGGCCAGTCTACGTTGTGCGGTTTCAATCTACGTATTTTAAATTCATCGTTTTGAAATGAGAACACGATATGAAGATTAAAATGTGCTATCTTTAATTTTTTTTAATTGCATTAACATAACAACTCGATTTTTAACAGTTTTTAACGATTTTTTATGCATTTTTCGATGTTACCCTTTTCTTATTATAATTAAGGGATATTGTTTTTATTTTAATGTACAGAAGTTTGTGTAGCGAAATGATATTTTGCGAGAAAAATCCAAAAGTATCTCGTAATGACCAAGAATACGTGGTGTAATTCACCTAATGGGTTCATAAATATATATCAAATGAACAAACAATGAATATCTCGAATGAACGAACGAATTTTCTATCGAAACTTTAATGGGTAAATAACAGTGTTTCTTTAATGAGATAACAGGCAGCATTGATATTTGTTCGTTGCATTACATGCGACTTCGATCCATTGCTTCTATACTCTCGTTATAGGAAGGTGGGTATTCATCCAAATGTTTTGAAATAAAGTTATTAAAGCCCATCAGTCCGATACGAAAGATCTATATTTTGCGAATGTCTTCTATATGCGAATGTCTTCTATACCAGAAATAGCCTATAGTTGGCTTCGATCATCCACTTCATACTTTTACGAATCTGGTATGAAAGTTTAATTGAGTATTTTCTCGGGGGCTCTGAATGAAATTATTCCTGATCGAGAACACAATACGAATTTGAATGAGCTTTTAGCAAGCATTGCCTTTGTGCATTTAGATGTCAGGCTGTATCAGCCGCTTTTTGGTCGGCCCTAGTAGGAAATATTGAGCTCTGCGTATGAAAACTTTTCCTAATAGATACACTAATTCTCCAAGATCAGTGACTTTTTCGCTCCTTAAGCTGAAACGACGGTACAAATAAGCTATTTATTTCATACATCTACTTCTTATTGCAGCGTAACTGTTTCATCTTCTGCTTCTCATCATAAATTTTTAAACCTCTTCATGATTTAGGCTTCGCTGCGGTGAGTGCAACTGCAAATCTGGCATGATAATCTGGCCACACGCTTCACATCCGCCTTCGTTACTACCGAGCTTTTGATCGATCATCAATCGTGCATTTCTCTTTTTGAACAATAACGGCTTAGTAATATCAGGTTCAACTCGAACATTTCTATCACTGCTCAACATCATTGGAACGCTGCACATGCGGGCACGTGTCACTGAACTGCTTTACACTGGATACATGATCGATCTACAGCTGCGCTGGCTGCGACCATAGATATAATTAGCTTATGAAGCCTTCTGTTTCATGAGGTGAACTGTCCTGTTCAACCGAACAGGAATAATTTTATTTAGACGACAATACATGTTAATATAAAAAATAAATTGTATTTGCATTCCAATTAGTATCATGGTACGGAAATTAGTTATACTGGAGGTATCTTATTGAATAATAATAATAATAATAATAATAATAATAATAACGCCATCTCTGTTGACTTCTATACATTTCGACGTGTCGCGCTAAAGAAGACGGCATAGATTTTTTCTTAAGTCTTCTTGGTCACAGGAGTTGATGCCGTGTTGGGACTAGAGTCTTTGGGGGAAGGTAAAACACATCTCATTTGTTCGCGGAGTTTTGAACGGGGGTTGAAATTTAGAAAAATTATTGAGGTTCTTGAAACGGACATATGATGTTATTATGCGCGTCTGATAACATCAAACAGAAATATTCTAATGCTAACCAAGGTGAGCTAGAAGAGCCCTTTCGTCTAGATTCTAGAAGATGCCTCCAATGATCAACTTAGATCCTTGACCTTCAGGATTGGCTGACGCTGCTTGTGTCGGTTGCCACGGGTGCAATCAAGCACTCCGTTACTATGCACGCGGTCACCAATCTTCATAACAATGCCTTCGTTTAGCCTTGGTATCTTTGCGTATGTATATTCTTAACCCTCGATGGTACCGTCTCTAAACCGGGACAATTTAATTTATGGCATTTGCGAAAGTAATTTGTGATGCTAATTGAGTCGTTACATGGACTTGTAGTTGTACTGATAAATAGATTGTGGCGGCCATGGATAGCTATGCGTGTAGTGATAGAAAAAAAATGTTCCCTGGAGATGAAGCCGCCATTCAAGGGCGATGGAGGCCATGTCCCGCCGCTCCTGCATCGCTGCAAAATATGACACTCGTGCATGGCAGCTCCCTATGCAGACACCCCTGCATGACTTCACCGTCTGCAAACACTTCAAGGCGGCTCGTTGAGTGTCATTCCTTCATTAAGTGAGACATTCGCTTGGCGCGTAGTCTTCCTTGACTTTAGGCAACCCCTGAAACAAATGTTCCGTTGATCCTTACTAATGCATGACGTGGCACTCCCTAAATCTTCGGCAACCATAAGCAGTAAACATATGCTGTAACAATCATGTACAGATTAAACGTAGGTTATGACGCATGTTATTTGAAACGGTACGGACTTGCATAAAATAAAAAGGTTCTGCGACGTACTCAAGTTTAATGTAACAGAATGAGCAGTTCTCGCCCGTAATGTAACGTGTAAGCACATGGGGAAGAACTTTAAGATTTTGATATGCTCAGATAGCATATATGAAGATGGTAGTGCGATGTTTGGGTCTTTCTGAGAGTAGAAATCAAGTTTCGAGTGAACGCTTGTTACTAATGAAAGGATTTTGGAAGAATAAATATGCTATGAAACCATTTCATCCTATTACGAGTATAATAGTGCCTCTCGTTGCTACTTCTCGACTAGTTAATTTGTTCAAGGCACAATACGAAGGAGATTTTGAGAAAAATCGATCGAGATTACGTGTGGCGATATTTCTTAGTTCTATCCGCCGGCGACTGGGCTAATTCATGGATTCCTGATTTGTCCTTGAGTAAAGCTATAATGTCTGTGATAGATGCTTATCTTGATGAGTCAGCTTATTCTGTTAAACTCTTTCCTGTTACTCGTTTATGTTATGCGCCAAGGAATGTCTGACCGAATTGCTAGTGCTTTATAGATTTCCTTCAAAACATTATAATTCAAGGGAAATTACAATGAAATTTCATGCATTGTTCTGAGTTTCTTTTGACTCACACCCCTAAGGAATGAGAACACGTCTCTGTGCAAAACTTGCAAACTGTATTGATTCCTCCATCTGCTTTTGTGGCCTAGAGCCCGCCTAGAGTCGTCACGAAGTACCATGTGCACGTGAGATTCCGTTAGACTTGAATGCACTGTTTTAGACTCATTGCGACCAGAAACTCCAATCGAAAACAAAACTAATTATGAACGCAGGTTTATTCATTTCGGCTCTGACAAAAAAGAACAATTAAATATTAAGTATTCACACATACTAAATAGCATTATTTTTCTATGTGTATGGCAAGCCATTTGGTTTTATAATTTACCTATTCTACTTGTTTAAATTAAAGGGAATTTCCGATCAATCTCATTCGTGAAAATTTTATGCGTGTTTTTTTTAAATGCGTTTTAGTTTGTGCGTCTTTTTATTATTTTTTTTTGTTTTGGTTGGTCCATCTTGTATTTGCGTATATGTGACATTAGTTTACCGAAGTTACGTTGCGCACCATGTGACTAAGAACGGACACTCCCTATACTCAACGGGTACTACTTTGTCGTTCACCGTGAGATTCATATGCTTTATTGGCCTTGTGTAAAAATTCTATGGCCTTTTTACCGGAGTGGAGGCTTCTGCTTCTGTTCGATGCACAGCTTTTCGGATAATGGCTAAAACTTTGCCGTCAATTTTTTTTCCCAGCGACATTAGTGTTTTAAAATTCAATGCGATAATGTTTTCGCCTAGTCATACAACATTCATACAAGTAAATGTTATACGACTAGAAATGCAATCTTTAGCTTCTAAATATACCTACCCTTGAATTAAAATCGGGCTGCATTTCACACAAGGAAAGATTTAATTTTTACTAAATGTTTAGTTTTTTAGATTATTGTGAACTATCACACTAAAAGGCAATTTGATTTTATCATAATAGTGTTCAATTATTATCAGAATTCTCTTTCCTCCGAGAACAAAAATTCATTTCGTGTTTTTAATGGTTAGGTTTGATTTCGTGCGTTCATTCATTCAGTATCTCAAGTATTCCCCGTTGCTCATCTACATGCGCATTTCAACCATCCACAAGAAATTATTCCATCTCTTTGCTAACTTTTAATTACTATAATTAATGTATTTATCATCCGACATTGTTTTTAGTTTGTTGCAATTTTTACTTACAGCTGCAAAGCTCCCGATGTACGTTTTGCTGCTCCCTTGAACGATCTCATGTCGCCAGTAGGAGACCCGAATCGTTCCATTTTATTGAAATCATTCCATCATTATAGCTTTGCTTCTTTGCACTATTATTAGCGGTTATAGATAATCGGGTGCCTAGCATCGTCATCTCTATAAGACCTCACCTGTGGTTTTAAATACTGTAGATCCCATAGCATCATCGCAATGAACGCTTCTATAGTTTGATTTATTCCTTTATTGTTCACGAACTGATGCCTTTTGTTTGCTCTATTATTTCTACAGTTATGACGCTGTAGCGATGAATGCTTGTGTGTAGCGAGAAACGCGGCTTTCCACGCCTACCCTTACAGTAAGTATAATATTATATACATATTATACAGTAAGTATAATATGTAGCTCCTCTTGCACGCTCGACACAGTGGCATACGAGAGCCTTGCGTTCTCCAGCTTCATTCTCTTTACGCCTTCTCATTCGCACTTAAGTGACTGCTTTGGTTCCTCAGCTCGGAAACCTTGCTTTCTGTTATTAAATTTATCAGAGTCTCTGAGTAGCTCAGATATAAAAAAGGTCAGCGTGAGATATCTTGTTAGCCACTGTGACGCATACGCAGCTTTACACCATTCCTTTAAAAAAATATGACTTTTTTTTAAACCTGGTTACCAGTCTTCATTCTGCTGCCTTGTGCTGCTCCTCATTTTGTGCTACTACCTTTCATATCATTGTTGTTTACAATTATCTGTTTGCTTGCTTATTATAATTTTAGAACTTTTTCAAACTAATTTGCTACAATGCTTATATGTATGTATTATGTTTGTATGAATATATTAATGGATATATCATTGTGATGCTATCTGAAATGTTTTTCAGTACTTTTGAGTCGTAAACTATCTTTGCCTGGTTATTTAACTTGTAACTTTTCTAACGTGTTGAGACAACCAATGCGTTTACAGGTTGTCTTCTTTGAGCTGTTTTGTTTCGGATATTTGTCGAGTTTTATTTTAATTGGGTAAAGCTTATTATGTTGGTAAATCTTGGAATAATAGAACTCCATGCAGAATGCAAGAAAAGAAGTGCGAACAAGAAAATCCCATTCCCACTTTTGAAACGACAATTCTTCTCAAACGTCACTAAGATCCATTTAACACACTCTAAAACAATTATTCAACTACAGTCTAGAAATTCAAAGGATTTTTTATCATGCAAAAATGATCTACAGTAAATTGTAGATTTAATTGCAAGTCTGTAATAATTGTTACATTGAGGTCCTCGTAATATTGCGACAGGATTGATATTGAGGATTTCGCTCCAATTAATAAGCTCCAATGATTTTCTGGTGCCACGCTTCTAATTATCCCGACAATCATGAACAAATTAAAAAAAGCAAGTTATGAATTGTATGAATTTTGTTAGTGTGTTCATTGGGTTCGTGCTCCAGGCTGGGCTGGGAGCAAAACCAATTTATAGTCAGATTCATTAATATAGTTTATATATACTTCAATTTTACCTATTGAAAAATCAAAAGCCTCCTTCGAATTAAAAATGTGAGTTGATTGGGGGGAATACATTGGAATATGTGGGTTCAAACGATTATTGTTTTTATAGAGTTACTCTGGTTTGAAAATTAACAGACTTCTCAAATCTCAGAGATTGTATAATGTATATCCTGGAAATCGTCTCGTAGAGCTCATATCAACTATTGTTATTGAACATATTTTCGGTAGTCTGGCGCAGTAAATGTTTATAAAAATCAAGAATATAAATGGTTGTATTACATTTTTACTTTTTTGTTCATGGAGATACGCTCGACAAATAATTTAATGAATACTCTACGCTTTGTCTGAGATCAACAGTGGCATCCTTGTACTTCCTTACTCACGGTATAGTGGCTCTGAATGCAACTCGGACACCCTATCCACTCTACCAAGCACAGTCACTTATTCACAAACCACCGTATATACATGCGACTTGGATCATTCCTGCGATCAATTTTGCAGGCAGTGTTATGTCCTGAGTGTCTAACTGACGGCTCTGTATATCTCAAGACCAAGACTATCGGGGCGTGTCACTTTTGATCAACAAATTTCAACATTCGAGAAACCTTGTAATATTAGGCCAAGTAACAATATTTTAATATAATTTTAGAGTTGAATATGAACATTCAAAGCAATCTTGAACTGCAAGAATGGAGTTTATCAGAGCGTACGAGTAGAAATAAGTAAGCTAAGTAGTGATCCATGTTACAGCTCTTCAAATCGCATATAGTTCTATTAAATGGCAGAAAAATGTATTTTTTTTTTGTTCGTAAAACTAGAGACTTAGGCTATACCGTCTTTTCTCATTTGAATAATTACTGGGGGAATTTATATTTCAAGTGACATATTAAAGCGGAATTCTCACTATCACTTCTATCATAGTGTTAAATATTTTTTCTTACATTATTAGTCTAGCCTAACCATTTGCTTATGCAATTAGCTTCAGGTAGGCCTTTATAGAGCTATTCTAGAGGGTACAGCATCTATAACATCTAGCCACCACAACCGCCGTAGCGAAATTCCCCATTTCTTGGATATACTAAGGTTTATGTAGCTCTCAAATAACTATGATTTGTTGGCAATTAGTTGATTTATAACTATAACTATGATTTATGACAATGAGTTGTCATAAACTGAAACTTGCATTTGTAAGGTAAAAATTTTAACACAGGGAGCGAGCCGTGGAGTGAAGAGGTACCAAGTGAGCCTTCGTCCGGGTGCAGCGTGAGGAGCAGACCAGGCAGCCATACAAGCACCGACACCCTAACGTGTCTTGACCTTCCTGTCCAGCCCGTACAACCCGTATCCTGCTACCCTAACCTCCTACTCCACCCACAAAAGAATCCCATCCCCCTAACCTCACTCTCAGGATCCTACCCTCCACACGACCCCTGCTACGTATTAGCAACCGCGCGCCCGTCCTCTTACAGTCCTCATTTTCCTTACGACGACGACCATCGCTTCACTCGCCCTAAGCCTCTTCTGATTGGGTGTCAACCCTCTTCGTCTTCCAGCAGCCTATGTGCTTCTAGACGAAGTTTCGCCGTGCCACCACGTTTGCCTCATCCCTCGTCCAGCGAAATCATAAGACACCCTCTGGCAGCCGTGCCCCACACACCGGGTTTATTGTCGCCGGTCAAAGGCTTGCGTCACGAGAACAGCTTGCCGAATTTTCCGCAACCCTTCCCGTCTACCGCAGCGTCGTCGCGGCACATGCGGCCTGGCCGTTTGCACTCGGCCCACAAACTCGCTAAGTGTCACCACCCTCTGCCACTTTTCTCTTCACATTCCACTTTAAGTCACTCTTCCAATAAGACTTCAGAATCTAGATCGATAAGCGCTACAACATTAGATGTTACAGCGTTGCATTCATCTTTGAATTTAACGTCCTTTCCAGACTCCTGCACATCTACTTCTACTGGTATAAGTTGCATAAGCAATATTCAAAAACGTCCAAACATTTTTAATCTATTGGAATCTAAAAAGTGTGCGGATTCGCCTATAACCGCAAGTGAATCTGCTAAATCAAAACCTGTTGATTTTATAAGCGGGGATAACAGTTCTTCAATAATTCAATTCCATAGATTCACTCCTACACCCGCTTCGTCAAGTAACGTTTTTGGTGTAGTTGAAACAAACTCTGTGCGTGTTCTAAACCTTGGTGATTTGGAAGATTCCCTACCTGGTTTACAAACACCAGGTCTTTCTGAGTCATTTTCTCCTGACGCGGACTTTTTTCTGCCGCCTGAGCAGCAACTCCCCAATTTCAACTGCGGTGTCCCTGATCCCTGCTTCGGAAACGGTGACTCCGGGTCGCTAAGCCAATTTTTTCAATCTCCAAATACAATTGTACCGAAAAGTGAACGTTTAGTTGACCTTTGCTTCCACAACAACGTGAAATTTTCCAGTCTTCAGACATCAAATCTTGGTGAAAGCAGTTCGTTTCCCAATAGCGAGCCCTGCCAAAGTTACACGTCTCCAGTCCCTTGCTTGAACACTCGCGATATTTCCGTTGCTCAGGCCATGTCAAACACTGCGAATTCATCGCACTTGGCCACTCGCAGAATGCGTTCTCTCAGAAGCCACCACCATGCCAACAGACCTACGTTGTCTGAAGGAGATGATGTCGCTCCAAGTGACGCCGACATCGATCAACGTAACCGTGATAGATCTGAGTCGCCTATTGTTCGCGCAACTATGACTCGTCACCATCATCATCATAGACATCATCATCACAATAGTCTTAGAACTTCCGCAGAAAATTCTGAACTTTCAAGTGCTGCTGGTGGAACGGATGAAAATTTGGAAAATCTTCCGAGTGACTGCGAAGACTGCGATGATTGCGATAATTTGGGCGCCTGTGGTGGAGGCTGCGATGAATGCGACCTCATCGAGCATCATTCGTCCGAGGAGGAACTTGAAACGCTCACTGGGTCCTGGCAGCGAGACGTCAACGGCCCTCCTGAGAAGAGAAAATGGTCACAAGTTGCGCGTCTTTCACTCACAGATTCCGGTACGTACATTTTATTGTGAACTTACCTTGCACATTTCATCATTTGCCTCATCGAACTTCAGTAAGCATTTGAGCTGTCACGAATCACAGGATGTCCTTATGGGGATAGACAAACGTGCCAGCTTTGATTGCTTTCCAGAAGTATTGAGTGCTAATGATCATTGAACTATTATGATCATTTATCATAACATCTATTAGCTTCTCATATTATTCATTATCCATCAGCTTCTCATAATCGTTGTTCTATTATGACACTTTTGAATAGGTATATTTCTCTAGTACCATTTTTAGCGCATTTTCTCATTTATGAAAAAAATGCACTATTGTGCTCGCCATGTCCGTCCGTCCGTCTGTCCGTCCGTGACTTCATGTTTTCGTCGATGAGAAAATGCGCTCTGTCACTCACTGCAGTGAGTACTGAATTATACTTTTTAATTGATATGATTTGATGATTCGCAGCTTCGACATTTTGCTGCTCACGTGGTTATCGTTCATTCAACATTATGGCTCTTCTTTAACTTGTTGTACTTGGAACTGATTTCCAAGAGGTTTACCAGGGGAATACAACAAAATTCGGCGGTTTTCCTGTATTGTCAGCTTTAGTTTTTCATGACGTTTTCCACCGAGTGTTTGCATTTATATAATTTCAAGCAATAAATAATATGTTCAATCCAATATGTTCAATCCTAGCAATAAATCCATGTTCCAAATTTATAATGGCATCAATTTCTAAAACCCGGAAGCATTTATTTTCTATGTCCTAAGCGCTTCTCAGTACCCTGAACCTTTAGCAACAGGAAATAACCACTCGTTGTACCCTTGATGCCTTAAATAATACTAAATGCCACAGGTTCGCAATTGTACAGCTATGATAGGCCTCACTGACCATCCTAACTACCAACAGGCAGCAGCGACGACGAAGTGTGCGTGTTGACCACCAACGAGCGTCCTCCCGTACAGTTCAGGTCCACGCCCCCTCTGGAGGTGCACAAGCCCTTGCGCACCGTATCGCCCCCCAGCAAGATGCTGGGCTTGGGCTCACCGCCCACCGCCCACTGCTGCAAGACGCCCTGCCAGAGCGACAGCTGCCGTAACATCAGCGCCGGCGAGGCCAGGCTTGCGAGAACTGCGGCTGCTGCAGCCGTCGCTGCTGGGGGCGCTGGTGAGTTGTCTGTCCGAGTGAACAGGCGTGAACAATATTATCGGCATGAGAGACATGACAAGCCTCATTATCATCATGCACCACATGACCAACATGCACCACATGGCCAGCATGGGCCACGTGACAAGCCTGCACCACATGACCAGCATGCACCACATGACCAACATGGACCACAACCAGTCAGTGACCATCAGTCACCACCACCGTGACCATCAGTGACTGATATCGTGACCCTTGCAGGTGGTGGCCCCGAGGTGGCGGTGGGCGGGACGCTGCGCGCGGGGCTGACGGTGGGCGACGCGGCGGGCGGGGCGGCGGGGCGCGCGGCGTCGCCACGCAAGCGCCACCGCCACACGGCGCGGCAGCTCAACAGACCTTCGCTGGACTTCGAGAAGATGCAGCAGGTGCGTGTGGGTGTTGCATCGTGAACTTCATGGGGTAGGTTTTGGACCGTGGGCTTCATGGGGTGGGTTTTGGACCGTGGGCTTCATGGGGTTGGTTTTGGACCGTGGGCTTCATGGAGTGGGTGATGGACCGCGGGCTTCATGGAGTGGGTGTTGGACCGTGGGCTTCATGGAGTGTAGTCAGATGGGGTAAGACAGGACCGAAATCACTAACAAGCCTGTAGCATCTATACCATCAATAACTAAAAAACCCTAAACCTATCACAAGGTGTAGTATGCAATGGGCTTCTAAGCTACAACTCAGACGTTTTGCATCTAACATAGTTTTCTGTACAGATTAAAAAAAGTGAACTGGTCCCATCTTACCCCATTGGGGTAAGATGGGACCAGGCTGGGGTGAGAAAGGACCAACTGGTAATTCTTATGTTACAAGGTTTTTAATAAAAGTACAAATCTGATATTCAATATTATCCATCTAGAAACACATTATTTGATTAAACAACCACTTGTTACTGTTTTGTGTTGCTGGAAGTCAACTCTAATATCACATTGGAGTTTTTTGTCTCCAGAAAACTTTGTTAAGCATAATAATAGTGGGTTGGCTTTGGTTCATTGTAGAGCACTGCTAAACGCTTCATGTATATTCCATTAGTGTCATTGTCTGAAAATTTTATCAAAGTTTTAATAAAACCAGTGGATAATAACTTAAGTGTCAGACGTCATGTGTTTTCTTGCTAACTTCATTTGTGGTGCACTTCTTCAAACATAGCTCATGCCCTCTCACAGAGTTGTGATCATAATTATTTTTCATGTTTCACAAAATGATTTTTCCCCCAGCCAATCTTGCACATAGTTCTGCTGCTCACTAATGGGAATAAACATCCCTATTTTCTATATATATACCTTTGATGCAATTTAAAATAGTGCACTAAATTTCTCTAATTAAAAAAGCTAACAAGTTATAATGAAGTTTGAGCAAAAGATAAAAATTTTAACCAAATAATCCATGTACTGCACAATAATATAGGAATTCATTTAAAAACTATTTTTGATAAACTGTAGGGTAATAGAGGACCATTTGTGGGGTAAGATAGGATCGCTTGTGGGGGTAAAACAGGATCATTTAGTGGTCCGGTCTTACCCCATGTCCAGTCCTTTGTTACCCCATTTTAGAATACATGTCAGGCAGTGATGGTAGCAGGTAGGAATGCCTAGTATGTCTCAAAAGTTGCCTATTACTTGAGGTTACCTGCCTACATCCACAAACCTGGCCAAAAATTTTTTTGTCATTAGACAGAGCTTATTTCCCAAACAGGGTTAACTATTTTGTGACCCTTTTTTACATAGGTTTTCTTTAAAAATTTTAATTTGGCTGTCGTTATTTGGTCGAGTTTCAGTTGATGCCCAATAATATTAGCTAGAAAAATTTCTCTTGAATTTGTCTGGTATTGACGGTACAGTGGACGAATTTGCCAGTATCCGCTGAGTGCTGCACCTTCTTTTCTGCCCTACCTTCTGACATCCTGATATTAAAATAATGCTATTGTGATGGTGTCATTGTGATGTAAGGAGCCAAAAGCCTGAATTTTTTCTGTTTTTTGGCTCATGATTTCCTTCTTGGCCTAAGGTATAAATTATCAATTTGGTTTCCATTTAGTAAATAGAAGGAATTTGATTTAAAGATTCTTCAGTACAGCCTAATGTCTTCTGCATACATGTACTCTAGTTTTGTAATGATCGTTTGATTCAATATGGAATTGTTTTGAGCAGATCAAGAACAACGCCGTGACGCAGTGGAGAAACAGCGGTGAGCTCTCGCTCTCCTTTTGCTAGTGGCATCCACCTCTGCTACGTGACATCTTCAGGCTTCAATTCAGCCTCGTAGATGACAACTTACATCGTTTTTAAACTCTCGGATGATCGCTTCAGTCCTTCTGCTTGTTACTTGTTTTTTTATTGACTGAATTCAGCGCATAAATTTTCAAGCAGGTTCTTATCCCTTCGAGCTGCAGCACTAAAAATGAATCTCAAAGCCACGTATACCCTTGATTTTTAAATAAAAATTGACATTAACCTCGATCTCAGGTCAGACTTCTATATATGTCCTACTCTGTTTGCAAACTGAAGGCGTCTTGCAACTGTTTGCTACGTAAAGGATCTAGTGGCAGAATTTAGATTATTATTCTTTTTTATGCCTGAGTTATTCGATATTGCACTTTCGTTTGTCATCTCAACGAACTCTGTCACGTCGTGCCCTCGGCTCTTGCGCTCACCTGTCAAATTTACTCCTCGACTACATGTCCAATTCTTCCTTTTTGACAGCGGATTGATGTTTACTAATTTAATTATAAGTTACCGGGTGGTCATGGAAATCGGTTATAATATATGCGTCGTTGGATGAAAAGCATAGCAATGTTAACACATATCGTCACTCGTGATTTCTTCGTCCGGCGAAGTTCCAATATGAACTCCAGAAGTGCATCAACTGGGCTGACCAAGCAAAGACGTCTGTTCTTATTCTCATCATTACTGTTCCTTCTCGTCTTCGCATGCACGGATCCAGAAATCCTTCTGTTCACAATCCCTCGGATTGTAGAAGTTTCATTTGTCTTCTATAAACTGGTTGAAATTGAGTCACACACCTCGCTGTTTCGGTACCGATATAACCAAGGGAGAACAGAAGCTAGCGTACTATCGTGCAATTGAATTGGTGCGTTCTTAACTTTTACAGGCAGTGATGAGGGAAGCGTTGTGTTCCTATCTCATGGCCTTGTGCTGTACCTTCTGAATTTTAATGATCTTCCTAAATTAACGCCATAAGCCTAGTTATCCATAAACTATGTCAAGCAACCTCAGCATACTTATTATTGATTCATGACACAAAAGTTATTGTTTGACACCTACTGTGGCAATTAGTAGTTTGTCCTAACCGTGAATGCTTGTTTAGTTGTGTGCACCCGTCTAATTTTGCATGGCAACGACAAGTAGAGCGCCATGTTGCCTGTTCCGTCGTCAGTACAATTTCCTTCTAGTCTTCTGTTGGAGTTGCTTCGTCTCAGGGAGAACGCCTTACGAGCCTCAGTAGCTCCATGCGTGCGCCCACAAATTACCTCGCTGATTTCTTCACTTTCAGTTCGAAGTCGATCTTAAACTCTCGAGTGGATCAATTTCTCGTATGTTTTTGGCATTTAGCCAATTAGTCTTGAAACTTGAGATTGTTTCTCTAACGATGTGCTCGTAAATTTTGATGGCTCATGCATTCTCTAATCTGTTTTAGATCTGTTGAAACATATTTTTTCCTTCTTTGAACTTTGTGACCACACAATTTTCACGCGAGTATCATGTTCGTTACAGTGAGAGATTAAATATTATCTCTCAATCAAGTTAACGAGGCTTAAATTCTGCAGTTAAACATTGTCTTTCTTGCTATGTTCATTTACGAAATAAGTCTTCAGACTATGACATTTTTACGGGTTCCATTACTGGAAATTCAAGACAATGTTGGCCGAGTAGCTTTGGCCCCAATATAGCTTGTCTACTTATGGCTACTTTCATTTGCTGTGTACAGCTGCCCGGAACTCGATTAAAAAATCTGAATTAAAAATACTTTTTTAATGCGGATAGTACGTTGGGTTAAATAATCTTATTGGCTTGAAGCGTTTATATAATGGAGTCATTATTTATACTTAAAAAGATTAAATTAATAAACTCATAAAGAGTTGAATCCAATGATTGAAATCATCACCTGGCTGACTGTGGGCTGAATTTAGCACGTTTATTGATATTCGAAATATTCTAGACTAAAATCCAGAAACATAATTCCATTACATAGAATGTGGAACTGATCTTAAATATCTCCGATTGTAAAAATTCGTTATATGTCATCATTTCAGTACAAATAATGAGCTCATGTCACGTGATTTCCGATAAAGTGCTTCGTTTGAAGGTAAATTTTTAGTTAACATATTCTCTGCTTAGACCTGCTAAGGTGGCACGATATTCTTGGATTATGTTTAAATTATGAGCTTGAATGTAACATTGGCGTCCTGTGTTGGTGTTATTCGTCATTATTTACTCTGTAATTAGTGCGACTCGAGTGCGTTATCGTTGTTATAAATAAAAACATTCGTGTAAACATTTGTAGTCCTGCCACTGAAGTTGTGTTGCGATCGCTGAGTCAGCGATCGGTGTCTTGAGTACGACTGAAATGCCTTAGCTATTGACCCATTCGACAATTGTTTTGTAGCAGCGAGGGACTCGTATTAGAACACAAAAATGATATTACATACGTAAATTGGCTCGTATTTTTATACTGAAAATTTGTTTCATATGAATGTTAGTCTTAACATTACGAATGTATAACGTTATATAGCTTACTACGTGCATATAAATATATTTTAGAGTGTGCTTCGGTGTATTTAATGTACATAGCCGTGGTTTGGGTTGTAAAATCTACCATGATTGATATCGTAAGTTTAAGCAAGATTCGAAACTGTCGTCCCAATGCGAAACTCCGAAGATGTTGCTGATGTGTGCATGCTTCATCTTTAAACTACGTGAATTTTTTGTACTCATTACCTCGTTTATTAATGGAGTTTCTGTGCTATGGCTTTTTTTCGATGAGTTGGGTGGAGTCTTGAAGAAATAAGCTTTCTTATCCAAATTTGGAATTTATTCAAATATGCTGAATAAATTGATCGCACAAATAACACAGCCTCCATTGAGATAAACTCTTTACACATTATTTTTCCTGAGCTTGTGTTCCTACGGAACTCGCTTTCAAATATCATTTTATGCTATTGTTTATTTTCCTGCATAATCAGACCATAGATGGAATGTGGCGTTGGTTTTAATTCTACATTTAACGTCATTGCCTGTAGATTGGCATTGAATCGATGTCTTTCATATTGAATTTTTGTTGTTGTATTTGTGCAAGATTTTGTTCCGTACACATTTTCATTCATCCGATGGGCACGGAATGGACAATCCTACGATGCTTATTCTGCTGCTTCCATTGTTAATTCCAGTTGCAACAACGCCATTTCTCAAGAAACCCGAACTACTTTCGCTTTCCTCGCCTCTTCGTCACGTCTGTTATATCTTCGTACAAGTGAGTCTGTCACTCCCTTTGTAGTCTCATTCCGTCGCAAGCAACTATAAACATTCAACCTCGCAAAGCTGCTGGTGTAACTCAATCATCAATCTTTTCCATTTAAGCTACCCAATGGTGTATTCATCGCAATCATTTGTTGCGTCATTCATTCGATGCAGTTTTTATTTCTATTCCATTGCTGGGAAATGGACGTATAGTCCCGTACTTCTTAATTTGACTTGCTGCTTACAGGTTACAGTTGTCTTGAGCCACGACCACTAGCAGCATGCGGGTTACCTGCTTGGTTACCGGTCATTGATAAGAACTTGTGTTGATTAAAAACATTTTGTTATGAGTAATATTCCAACTGTTATCTGGTTTAATTGTGTTTATGTAGTTGAATGTGTATATTAATAGTTTATTCATATGTTGAAGCGTTTTTCCTTGCTAGACAAAGAGTTAAGCTTGAGAGTACTACGAACTATGATCACCATTGAAAATGGACGGTGAAATAGCCTGAACATTACTGACTTAAATGTGCATGTGACGACTAGATATTTAGACTTCAGAACTTAATTAACATTGATTCAAAAATTAAACAAATTTATCCAGAACATAGCGGCGTCGCGATGTTCTGGATAAATTTCTGGCACTGCAATAGTGAATGTGCGAGGGCGTTGCAACCTTCTTTTGAATCAAAGGTTTGCTTCTTCTCTAACTTACTAATGCCTTTGCAGCTATTATTCACTCGAATGACTATATTGCTGGATACGGTTGAAATGAGTGGAGTTTCTTGAACACATTCAACTTTGTGAACAATCCGCTGTGTGCGAAAGATGTTCTAATGAACTTACTGATCGTAAAACTGTGAACTATGGCAATTAATGTAGACTAGTGATGGTCAGTCGTACTGACCGTACAGTTAGAAGTGACACATGCACTACAAATGTCTCGTACAAAGCTATTAATGTAATTGGTAATATTAATCGTACGATATCGATAAAGGTACTGTATTATTACTGGCTGCGAATTACTGAAGGAATCACCCATGTTCGTTCGTACACGTGTAAAATAGTGCTTGTATTACTATCATAATTATTACTAATAATATTACAAATAATATCAACCCTCTGATTTACGTTATCCATCAAGAAATGCTCGCAAGAACCATGAATTATTTTTTGCCCATAACTTTCAGAGCGCTGTTAATCCTGCGCTGGTGCTGAAGTAATCGCATAACAAAGAAAAACTGTTTCATTAATGTTGACAGGAAGCTTGGTTGTATGCGGGGATGTGACTTGATACAGGAGCCAGTCCATCTTATTCGGTCTTGTACATACTTGATAAAGAATTACATCCCTCAATTACTAGAGATATGACTGACAGATTTGGTGTCGTGGGAGGCTTATCTCAAATTTATCTGTGAACTGTTGGGCGATCTATGATAACATCACTAATGTGACGGAAATGTTATGCGGACGGCTTCGTTCACTAACTTATTGATAAGGAAATGATTAGAGTGAATATTGTGTTAGAACTTGTGCGTGCTTTAGTGCTGCCGCTCTCTGCATCACCGACGTGCGTTGGTCTCGTGAGACTCGTCGTATCGCGTCTCGCCTAACACGATTTGTTTACATGTCGTAAAATTACGTTTCTCGCCGAAAACGATGGTAAAATCAAGAAACTTGTAAAATCAAGGAAGTATTTGTGGCTTAAGTTTTATGGTCTAATTGTGCAACTGAAGTTTTAGTCGATTGGTCGAGTGATTGATGGAAATTATAATTTTTTGAACTGGTTGGATCGTACTTCAATGAAAATAATTTGTAGATCGTTAACAATTCATCAAAAATTGTAACAATCTTTGTTTTGTTAAAAATAAGTGATCATAAAATCCAAATGGGTAAAAAAACACTTATCCATTCTACCGTTAGTAAGAGAAATATTCACTATTTTACAAGCCCCCTTGCGTTTATTGATGCTGGAGCAGAGATAGTGCATGGAACCAGTGTAAAATAAACTACAAATGTTCCAGTCAGTTACTTCCTGAGATCTTTAACTCTATTGAGGCTTATTCTTCTGATAAACTTAGATATACGCTTCTAATTTTACTTTAAGCATTAAATCTCAGCTTGCAACTCTGATGACGAGTAGAGAATTTGTCGACGGGAAGTGAGCGGAAGCAAAGCATTCAAATTTTCACTCGCGCTCGGTTTTAATTTCGGTTAACTATTTTATACATCCTAGCGAAAAAGTATTAATTGTGCATTTTAGACAATTCAATGGAAATTCAAATTATTTTTATCCACCTAGAACCCAATTTCTGCTATAACGCGTTCCTCCTTGTCATCTTACTTCTTACCTTGCTAACCAGAAGGGATCCGTCAATTTTGAACTAGTAATGTGGGCATTAATAAAAACTAATATTCTATGCCACATTCTTTCCTCAGCTGACGTATTTCCTATTTTATCTACTTATTTTCCATGTATGAGTCGACGTTCGATGTTGCACCTGGGCTGGTTGATGTCGAGGGTGGACCGATTTTTATCGGGAAAATCAGGAGATGTGGTTCGTTACAGAGGCCCTCCATCCAGTGTGTCTCTGTCATCACTTATATGAAAATATCTTCACACATATGATAACTGGCGTGCTTTTTACGAGGCTCGTCGTCTTCTCGAACGTCTTTTCCTCTGCAGTGATAGCGTCAGCAGCAGTCCGTGCTGCTGAGTCCACGTGTCTGTACCTGAGTCTAGCGTGTAAACCAACTGAACAAACTGAGTAGCCTGTAAGATTCATGTGCCCTCACATTATTAATATTTATCAGTGTCCACTTGTAAAAAATATGAATATTATTTTCCACGCCTTCTTACTGAAACTGGATTGTGTGAAAAGTTTTAGTGTTTCGAGAAATCATTGACAATGGTCTTTACAAGGCATTGCTGTGGTGCCTTTGTGTGATCACTTGAACTGATAAGCGTTTTAGGTCGCTTGTTATGAATCTGTATGATGCATCTAAATTCTTGTCTTGTTCATTATTATAATCTGGAATAATATTTTGTTGTCTATGTATCACGACAGGCCCTCCGAGGCTAGGGTTAGTTTTACGATGCCGTCTAAGAAAGTTTATCGGACGACCGGAAAATTTGTCGCGTGTTAAGTTCCTTCACTTGCAATATTATCAATACTGATCTAATGTAACGACTCTTTCTTATAGAAATATTTTTTAGCATTTTGGGTTCTTATTTATTGAATTTCTTGTTAAATTTACTTGCGCATTGTTAGCAATGTTATTTATGTTCGTATTCCCTTCTAAAATCGTCATAAATTCCAATTTAATTGTTCACTGCTCGGCATCGTGGTCGTCAAACCGACTGCTACAATTAATTTGTCGATGATAGCAAAATAAATTAGACTTGATTGCTCCCATGCTGTGCACATCCGCACTATGGATGTTTAGCTCAAACATTTCGAACGTTTTATATACTTCAAACTTTGAACGTTAACATTTACTACAAATTTGATCACAATTAGTAGTAAATTGTGGGTACAAAGACTTTCGAAAATCTAACGGGCTTATTCCTAAATTTGCAAACAGATCAACTACTCTCAAGTACTCTTACCTATTTAAAATCCTCATTTTGCGTTTAATTACTCAAGCTCGTGCTGTAGAACTAACGGTGGAATTTTCTATTAATTTGGAAATAAGCAAACGACGGGCGCATGACGAAGAACGTAATTGGCTTACTCAAACTCTGAAAGATTATTATAATAATGCTTATGTTTGGGCAATGAAATCTTATCAGGGAAGAACGAATGATGTGCGTTCTTAATAGCCATTTTCTTAGCCGCTGATGAACATTGAGATTTTTTAACATTAAATGATCTTCAATTATATCTGGCTCCTGCAAGGTTCCATTCCACAGAGTTATTCTATAGTTACCGCTGTTCGTTTTTACAGTCGATGTTTTCGTTTGTTGGTGAGAGCTGTTCGTACTTATGTTCCGATGTCCTAAGTTGACGTTTCTTGGAATCAGAGTTAATTTAACATCTCTTGGGTGCGGTGATTCTGATCCGAGCTGTCCTCTGAGCAATCCATAATGGATGAAAATCGCAGTCCCTCCATTAAACTGGTAAACATACAATTCGTGGACTTATGATTCAAACTTCTGTGTCTGTATCATAAAGAAAAATCACCAATGTATATATTATGTAGGTTATATCATAAAAGTTACGTGGACGAAAATTTGTAAATAAAAATCGCTTGTATACAACTCGCTTCTGTGTATACATTCTTCTATCGTTGATTTCACTTCATTGTGTAAAGGGTAGGTTTTGTGCGATCATGATTGAATTCGGCAGGAACATTCTCGCATGTTGATTGAGCTTTATCTGCCCTCTATTTTTGCCAATTTTAATGCTATGTTATACTGGTTCTTTACTTTGATCATAGCCGATATAGCGAGCACCTACGTGAAATTGTTTCATTTGTCCCTAATATCAGCTTCAAAAATTTATTTTCTTATCATATATTCAGAAATTTCTAAATCAACCGTAAGCGCTATCCAAAACAGCACATTGGATTTCGAAATTTTTCGTTCAAAAAACCTCTGGGAACGGCAATCTTGAAAAATTTGAAGGATACTGCATTTAGTGGATCTCATTTCGAACTTGAA